GTTGTCTACTATGGCCTAAATTACTAAGGCACACACAAGGTGGGAAAGCGATCTTCATATTGTTTGTTACCATCAGATTGGACAGAATATTTCCCATGGACTATGATTCATGATGAATGACTTACACAAAGTAATGGTTCATTACTACAGGCTTCCTTTTATATAAAGAATTTTCATATTCTTTAATCTGGCTAGTTCATCAGGTCAGACATGATCTGGCCCTGCCTATCTCCCCTCTCGTCTCATGCAACCCCGTACAGGTGTAAGTTTAGAGATCCCTTCATCTACGTCACACTCCTATTTATTTTAATGTATTTAGTACAGTGTCGACAGGGTGGGTCTACAGGGTCTCACTACACAGATCGGACTTGTAGTGATCCTTCTGTTTTCAGCCTCCCAGGTGCTGGGATTAGAGGCATGTGCCACCACACCCAGTCTCAGTGCACCTATTCTCAGTGCACTTCGGGGGCGGAGCTGGCACAGCAGGCCAGGGATTGAACCCTTGTCCCTGAGTCTGCCTAAGCAGGTGCTTTAATCTGCTGAGCTATCTGGCCTGTCCTACTTCTCTTTTTTAAAAACTATCCATAAGGTAAACTTCCTGTGGCTTCTGTAACTCGTTCCCATCTACAAACTCATAAAGAGGGCAGAGATGAGGTCTGTTTACTTCAGCTTCTTCTTGAGTATCAAGCAGGCCTAGGCTCCTACAAGTTCCTTGTAGAAGCAAATGAATCAGAATAGGAATGATTCATCAAAGAAGACAAACTAGACCCTCTGTTCTCATCTGAAGAATCAATCAGAATTATTCTGATCTTTAGCTGATAGTCTATCTCTTACTAATCATTCATCCATCCATCCATCCATCCAATAGAGGATTCTCAGGCTGTAGTCTGCCACCTTCCTAGAAAAGCAAAATGAAAAGTTTTTTTTTTCATTTCTACCCTCTTTGTTTCATGGAGATTCCTGGGGACCTCACTTTTGAAGGCACCTGTGCTCTCGGACACCTGCTGCTAGCTCTGGCTGGGCATGCGTACACTGGCCAAAGTGTACAGATCTGCCCCCCTTGGTGGGCAGATTTGTTGCCATGGAGAAAGATGGAATAGTAGGCAAAACCAGGCAAGCTTGGAGGAATTTTTAAAGTGTTTGAGTGTTTTTTAACTGGCAGCTGGCTTTGCAACACTTTATAAAAATAATCACAGTAGAGAAAATCAACATGAAATTGTTGCTAAGTAGTATACGTACCAGACATTAAAACTAAAAATTTGAAAGGAGAAAGAAGCCGTTTAGATTCAAATAAAAGAATCTTTAATGATAGTGCCATCAGTTCCCCTGCACCTGAGCAAAATTATACCGAGTAATTCTAGGAGGAGAAAAGTAGTTTAGCTTCACATTTTCCACGGAAAGATCTGTTATAGTTTTTGAATATATGCAACCAAGAGTAATATAAACCCTTCTGCTAGCACTGCTCTGTGTCAAGCCCTTCAGTTATGGCTAAGCATAGGGTTAGTACTGGAGATTCCCTTTTCCAAGAAATTAAGAAATTTGCCCAAGGTCACCAGAGCTGGAAGAAAAAGTCAAATCCTGAACTCAGGGAATTTGGTGACAGATTCTATGCTCTTAACCATTAGACTATATTCCCTGTTATGTTTTATAACTCACATCCTTTAAAACTAATGGGAGCTGGGTACCTACTGTCCAGCTGAAGGAGCAGAAGCTCACCAGTAACTGTTTCAGAAGCCCTGTGGCGTCCTCAAATCTCCATCCCCAGTCCCTGCTGCTCTTCTCCCTGGGTGACCGTGACCCTGGCATCTGGCCATGTCTGGTCAGTTCCCTAGCTTTTTGTTATAGTTCCGTACCTGGAGCCCTAAACGACGTGTGGTAGGTGGTTCTCATTTCAAGTCAACAGGCTCATTCTCACCATCTATGACTTGATTATTAAGCGCAACATGTTTTAAAACAATTATTTACTTATTTGTACAGGGTCTCGCTACACAGCTCGGACTTATATTGATCTTTCTGCCTCAGCCTCCCAGTGCTGGGATTATAGGCGTGCGCCACTACGCCTGGTTTCAGGGCTGGCACGACGCACCTGGGGTGGCCCATGCGGTACTGGGGATTGTACGTGTTTTGGAGACACTTCACATTTAATAGCACAGCTTTGGTTTATTCTGTTTGGGGGCTAAATTCTATATTTTGTTGTTCTGGTTGTTTATCGTATGGCTGGTTTTGTAAGTTGCTCCTGGTTTTTGTAAGAAAAACAGTTCTCTGGATGTCCTTGTGGATGAGGCCGGCCAGCACTACAGCAGCCTCGCAATCACTTGGGTGGTTTGTTCACACGGATGGTTCGTCCTACCACTCTAGTTCTGACTTGGTGGTTGTGCAGCTGGGGTACGGCCTGGGGCATGAGAACTGCCCTTTCCACCAAGTTTCCAGCTGTTGCCGATGCCACGTGGCCGGAGCACTCCACTTTTAGAATTATTCTAGGGTACACCCTCGGGGTGAAGCAGCTGAGGTACGGCACACTTCTGTCCAGCCCTACCTGGTACATCTCGCCGCGGTGCTTCTTGCTAAGCACACATTCACCTGCAGTTTCTAAACAGCCTTGTTATTACCATTATTGGATTCTTAAAAATGTTGTCAATCTAGGGAGTAAACATATCTCAATGATTTAAAAAAATATTTCTCTTAAAAATTTCTCTTGAGTATTAAGGGTATTTTTTTTCCATATATTTATTGGCTATTTCTCTTCTTCTGCATAAGAACTGTCTGGTTTTCTAATCATTTCTTCCCTGTGTCTTTTTTATTGATCATGAGAGTCCTTTATATAGAATGACTAATTCTCTCTCTTCAGTTATACAAGGTGCAAATGTCTTCTCTCAGTTCATGAATTGCCATTTTAATGTCTTTATACTGTCTTGTAAAGGACAAAAGTTTATAATTATACTGTAGTCAACTTTATCTATCTAAAAAATTACGCTTTCTATATCTTGCTTCAGAAATCCTTCCTTGGGACTGGGGAGACAGCCTGACGGTCTAAGTGCCTGCCTGGCAAGCGCAAGGACCCAAGTCTGATCCTTGGTACTGCATGCCCCAGAATCCGGGGTATGCTGTGCTGGCCACCAAAACCGGGCATGCTGGCACATGCCTGTAATCTCAGTACTGGGGAGGCTAAGAGAGGAGGATCACTACGAGTCTGAGCTGCGGAGTGAGACCCTGAACTGCATAAATAAATATTAAAAAACAGAAATCCTTTCTTCTTCCAAGACAGTCAGATATTTTCTATGCTATGTTCTAAAATTTGTATTTATTTTTATATTTTACATGTGTCTTACTTTACCTGGATTTGATTTTGGTTTATTTAATGAAGGAAGGAATTTTAATTTTTTCTCTTGTCTTATTCTACCTTACATTTATGTATGCATGTACGTATGTATATATTTAGTACAGGGTCGACTGGATCTCACTATACAGATCAGACTTGTAGTGATCCTCCTGTTTTCAGCCTCCCCAGAGCTGGGACTATAGGCACCCCTGGGGGTAGGGCTGGCATGGCACCCTAGAGATCAAACCCTGGTCCCTGCGTCTGCCTAAGTCCTCTCCTCCCTTTCCCTTTCCCTCCTCTCCCTTCCCTTTCCCTCCCCTCCCTCCTTTCTTTCAGAGGAACCGGAGATTGAACTCAGACCCTTATGCTTGCCAGGGAAGCGCTTATCCTACTGAGCCATCTCCCTGGCCCCTTTTCTTTGCTTTTTTTTTTTTCTTTTTTTCCTGGTACTGGAGATGGGACTTAAGACCTTGTGCTTGCCAGGATGGTGCTTATACCACTGGACTATAACCCTGGCCCTATGTTGTCTTTTCTTTCCGACTGTTTTTAATAGTATTTTTGAAGAAGTAGGGTTTAAAATTGTTTCATTAAGAAATACTTAACAATTTACAATTTTATTTTTCATTCCTCTGGCTAAGATTTTTCTGAGCTTTTGGAATCTCAGATTTAGTACTAATGAAAAATCCAAATCTTTTCTTTTTCCCATCATATTTCCTTTTGAATTTCTGTGTAGAACACCCTGGGTCTCCTGCCTCGTCTCCTAGTTTCACTTCATGTTCTCTCTTCTCTCCTTTGGAGCCATGTCTGCACTATTTATTCAGGTGGATATTCTAGCTCATCAGTGTTCTCTTTAACTGTCTCTAAGGTGTTTAACTTACCAAATTTTAAATTCCTATTTTTATAGTGTTCATCACTGGAAGTTTCCCTTCCTTATCTTAAAAATATGCTTGGTCATTTTGCAGTCTCTTAGGTTTGCCCATATTTTCAATGCTTATTTAAAATGTTATAAAGTATGTAAATTTGCTAAACCCAATAAAGAAATATTTACATATTGAACTACTGTCTCGGTTATTTCTGCTGGCTCTTATGGAAACTTGTACGGGTTCTAGTTGAAGCTGCCTTTTTCCAGAGGTGATTTCAGTTTATTTTGAGAGTCTTCTAGCATTAAGAAATTTACACTGCCATTATATTATACAGGAAAACCTAAGTTAGTTTCTCTCCTTTCCCTCATATAAGCAGAAGAAACAATGTGCCAATGGATGCTAGTCAATGCTTGGAAGGATCTGTCACCTGTCAGCAGGACCAGACACTACAGGGTATGAAGTAAGAATGTGAGAAAGATAGACTTCATATTAGCTATCATGCCAAATTACTTACTATCTGTATCTTGGCTCAGTTAAAGCACTTTTTTTTTTTTTTTTGCGGAACCAGAGATGGAACTCAGTACCTTGTGCTTGCCAGGCAAGTGCTTATTTTGCTGAGCTATCTCCTCGGCCCTTAAAGGACTTTTAATTGTTCAAGAGGGTACCTCTAAAAAGTTATGTATTCCTTCTGCTGTGTGATCGATGAACTATCACCCCAGCCCCTGCTGAAAATCATGAAACTGAATGATTGCTCTTGTCTCAGTCACACCCTGGAACGCTGCTTAAGGGACAGCCCCACCGCTGTACCAGTGACAAACCTGTGAGGGTCATCTGGATCACAGTTCGGAAGAAACTGAGTGACTGCGTCTGCTACTTCTTCATTTGATAAAACATCCCACAGTCCATCGGTGGCCAAGATCAGCACATCGTCGGCTCCGTGCTCATATTTGGAGAGGTCATAGACTCTTACCTGAAAAGAACGGGAAACTTAAGAAATTGGGAGCACAAAAAATTTTTTTGTCTCTGACAAATTTGATTCCTGACTGTGGTGGCTGTCAGGTATAAGATACTTGATTATACATCAAGCTTTATGGTCAAGGGCAGTCCTATTGAGAAACCTGCTGTACAAAATATGGACCCAATACATAACTATGCATGAATCAAAGAGGGAGGTTTAATAATTGATGAGAAAAGAATCAGCTGAAATGTAATGCTTGCCACAGATGGAATGACGACTTACAAGTGGATATTGTTCTACGTGGAACATCAACCAGGGCCTTTCTTGTCATCTTTGCATATTCATTCCAAAAACACTTACGAAGGGCCTACCTTGTGCCAGGTATGATAAATAAAAAAAAAAGTAATAGATTTTCCTGCTACACAGGAGTTGTTAGTCTGTAGTAGAGATAAAGCCAATTTAGAATCTTTCATATCTGCTTAGTAAGTCTGAGACTAAGGAGACATTATTTAATGTACTCATTTGAAAGCCTTCTTGCTGTACCTGCCTTACAATTAGTTAATGGCCCACACCATGGAAAAGCACTGGGAATATGTGCCATCCAGACTCTGAACATCCTCTCAAAGGACAAGCTCATCAAGGGTGAAGCTTCCATGCTTGAGAAGGCATGGAAGAAACAAAATGAAACAAACCAGGAGGAGGGAACTTCAGTTTTTAGCAGATAGAATGTCCGGGATGCCAGAGCTCTACCCTTGAGCCATAAAGTCCTGTCTGATGTTTGATCCCTACCTTTGCTTTATTGTCTATGGCTGTGGGGTTTGTTAGAACAGAGTTTCTCAAAGCAGTAAGTGGGGGGTCTGGTTAATGGGCAGACTCAGATGCAGTTGGGGGGGGGGCAGGAGTCTGCAGTTCTCCAGGATGATGCCAAGGCCTCACGCAGGTCCACAGACCACACTGAATGGCAAAGAAGATTCCTCCTAGGCTAGGTTTGTAGATAAGGAAGTCAAGCGCCCTGTGGATTCTGACTCCAGATAAGACTTCCATAGAGTAGGCTGTGGGAAGGGCAGCAAATGCTATTCTAGGGTCTCCAACTTCATGCCATGGTTCACTGTGTTGTTTCTAGTATGTAATTATGTTACTTAGGAGAGACGGTTAGCTTCATATTGGTACATGTCTATGGCCTATTTGTATGATAATTTGAGCTCCACCGAATGGAACAGATTAAGCAACAGGAGGTAGATGTGGATGTCAGGTGGTCTAATCTTTTTTTTGTACCGGGAATTGAACTCACGACCTGTGTTTGGCAGGCAGGCAGGCGCTGTGCTGATGAGCTATATCTCTGGCCCAGGTGACCCAATCTTATACTGTAGTAAAATATAAGATTCCATTTGTCTTCTAGCTCCTTCTAACAGAGATGTTGTCAGGTCTGAAAATAGCAATCCATTTAATTGCAAGTTCTGCTCTGAGAGCAGGGGGCCAAGTTCTCTCTGAAATCCTTTCTGCTGACCCAAGAAATACAAGAGGTTGAGTCACTGAAGCAGAAGTTGTCCTGCCCACTACTCAAATAGAACTCTGGCGAAAAACTATGGCGACTGTGTGTTCATGCATACGAACACGCTGGACAATGTTGCTCTCCAAGTCCATCAACAAGTGAAATCCTTCCTTAATTCTGTTCACATTTCCACTCACAGCACAGTAAAGCAGTTTCATTAGCTAACTGAAAATCCCTTTCAATACCCTTCTCCCCATAATTTTTATGTAAATAATAAAAAGCTGGTAGCAACCCCATTCCCTGAGGCACTACTCAATTAACATCCTTTTAGGTTTTTACTGCTACCCTTTGTTTCCTGCCCTTTAGTCAATTTCCAAAGGACTCTGCCAACTTTCCACTTATAGCTCCTGTCTTATACATTAACCTGTGATGCAGAACATTTTGTGAAAATGCTTTCAGAAAAGTTGAACTGTTGAGCAAGTTACCCCACTGCTGGCTCAGCCTCTTCGCTGCAAGGGCTTGCGAGGACCTGCAGGCTGCTGGGCCCTAACTTTGCCTCCACAAGCTGTGGCTGGGCTTCCCCCATCAGACCACTCTCACTTTCCCAAAGGTCCTGGCTCAATTCCTGAAATAGCTTTTTAAGGTTCCTAAAAAGTCCCACAACAAACCAACAGACTCTGAGGCTCCCCAAGGACTGAGGCCTCTGAAAGAGTCTCTGCAGGCCCCTTGGGGGACAGGACGCATACCCAAACACCTTTGCTGGAAGGAGGCTGGGAATACGCTCATCATTCCTTGAGGTCCCTCCCTCGTCCTCATCTGCCAAGAAGGGGAGGAAAAGCCCACAAGAGCCCTGGGAGTCTTGCACCTTCTTAGAGCAACATATACACAGATGTCCTCTGATTTATGATGGGGTTGTGTCCCGATAAAATGAACCCATCAGTACAGTGGAAATATCATGAGATGGAAATACTTCTAACCCATGGAACAGGGTTAGCTGAGCACTACAGTGCAGTGTAAGCGCTGGCTGCTCCCCTGCATGCCTGTGTGACTGACCGGCAGAAAGGCTCACTGCTGCTGCTGACTAGAATTGTGAGAAAGCGTCCTAGCCTATGTTTCTAGCCCAGGAAAAGAACAAAATTCTGAATACAGATTTAACTGAATGGGCACTGATTTTGCACCATCAGGAACAATGGGAAGCTGAAGCACCCAAGCCAAGGACCATGTTGGTCTCAGCAGCTGAAGGGTAGGGCCCTTCGGACTCTGCCTTCCTGCTGCCTTCATGCATGGTTTTAAGAGTCCCAGCTACGGGCCAAGCACTGGGACATGGTGACCCACAGTGACGAGCCTGATCACAAGTTCTACACCAGCAGGAGATACAAGTCACAGTGACAGAAGCGAAGAAGAACAAGGAGTGTGACAGGGTCACTTCAGACGTGTGCTTTTCTGGGAAGGTGACATCTAAACACTCAAGGGAATTGTCCTGGGCTTTCTCTTTTCTTCCCTTTCTCCTTTCCTTTGGGTGTCTGTTAATCTGGATTAGGAGTGCATGAGTGACAAAGGTGGGTGGAGGGCTGGAAGGGCTACGTGCCACCCTCTGCTTCCAGAACAACACCAATCCTATGTGTAGGCACCTGTGTTACGTGTCTGTCTTCACACGAATAATTATTCTGAAATTTTAGTATGTTTAAGAATCAAACGAAGGGGTCAGGGAGATGGCTCAGTGGAGTAAGCACTTCCCTGGCAAGTGCAAGGACCTGAGTTCAATCCCCGGTTCCAC